TATTCTAACAAAATAATCTAACAATAATAATTGTAATTTGCATAACAATTACACAACAATTTAGATATCTATATATATTAGAAAATAATTGTATTTATTATTCTTAATTATACCCTTCTTTTTCAATTTCTTAATAAAAATATATGTTAATTATAAGGTTCTTTAATAATCAAAGGAATAAAAAATATTCATTTAATATATTATTAATAATTTGCGTAATACAGTAGCTTTCATAATTAATCGTTTTACGATTTATTAAAAGATATGTATAAAAAGAAAAATTTCAATGTGAAACTTAAATATTTAAGATTTAAATTTTGTGTACAAAAAATTATTTTTACAGTCTTTAATATGTTTTATTGCTCAAAATAAATTATATTATTAAATCAATTATTAAATTATTGTATAATCTAACAATAATAATTATAATTAGTTAATAAGAATATAGACAAAGATGGACAATTTTATATTAAATTGTTTTTCAAAAATTAATCTGAATTTATCAATATATGTTTGAAGTTTATTATTTTGAACAGAAATTATAAATTTCATAATAATTTGTACCAATTTGAGATTTAATTTAAATTATTCTATATATAAATTATTCTTTCAAAAACTTAGAAAAGGTGATATTATGGCCAGTATGGCCAGTATATTGTGGTCCCTCTTAATATTTTCGCTATTAAGTGGCGAATTCTAGCGATTACTTATAGAATTATTTGTTCAGTAACTCGCCGTTACACCGTGACATTAATATACCAATAATCAAAAGCCAGCACTTATTGTAATACATTTTTTATAATACTTACAAGTATTTCGAAACATTTCTAAAATATATTTTAGCATTTAATTACACCTACTTTTTCATTTTTCTTAAACTTGAGCATATTATCGCAAGTATATATATTTTTGAGTGTGTTGTTTGCTATTTAATATTTTATTTGACTGTATAAATATTTTGAGTTAATATTAAACAATATTTAAACAATAGCATAGCATTTTGCCAATATGGCCCTCTATGAATATTGATTATTCACAATTTCTTTTTGAGATTTTCGTATCAAAATAATTATTTGATAATCAGTTATAGCTCTACTGTTAATCTATATTTTGTATTACGTACACTATTTTTAGTACACTGAGATTTTTAGTATTGAGCTTATATGCAGCTTATATGCAGAAGTTGTGTGAATGTACACATATTATTTGCATACATTTTAAAATGTTTTACTTTTTTGTTAATTTTGTAATCAATTTTAATTTTGTTAATTTTGTACTATTTTTTAAACAAAACTAATTTTTTATGGAAGGTCACATTACCACTAAGGTCACATTATTTTTTTTCATCATTATGCAATGTCGCCACATTTTTATTAATAGTGTCCTAAATAATAAATATTCCGTAACTTTAAATTCAGAATCAATTCAACAACTACTTAACGTGTGAATGTAATTCTCAAGTTTAAAAGTTAAATATTGATTACTAACAAAGTTATGTGTAAAATGTAACTGGGATAATACTGTCACATAATATTACCTTCTTCTTTATTATAAAAGAAAAAAAATATCAAAATGCAAATAATTGAACTACAGAATCATTACGCATATATTATTGTTTGATCTAGAATAATAAATTAGAAATATTTGACAAATTAATAATTTTATAAATTTTTATTACCAACATTTTGTTACATTTCTTAACAGATAAAGAATCTTACATATATAATACAAAAAAATTTATTTATTAAATAAGATTATTATTTGGCAATGAACAATGCTTGTTAACAAGTATAAGTACAATTGTGCTACGGTGCTACTAAAAAATAAGCAAGGAAGCGAATATTGCTTTCGCGTCATTAACAAGTATAACAATCCTGTCAACAAGACTTGTAACTCAAGAATGATGGGTTTACTTTCGCTATCTAATGTCATTCGTCTTTGCGAGAAAATGTTCCACGAATCAACAGTTATTCGTGTCATCCATTGAAATCTCGTTTAATTATAACTAATTATAGCCCAACTTTCTTCAATAATACCATTTACGGCCGCGTTTTTTTGTTTTTCTTCGGTGGAAGACGTGCTTATAAATCGGTATATGAATCGGATATAGCTTTTCCACAGGAACGGGCACATGTTTCTCAATAGTTATTGGCACCGGCTTTTCCACGGGCACTGGTATGATTTTCTCCACCGGATATGGGACTTTCTTCTCAACTGGAATTGCGATGGTTTTCACAACCGGCACAGGAATATGCTGGATGACCGGCACGTGAACAGGATAAGGTTGAGCAACACCTACTGCCATAGGATGAGGAACAGGTATTGACACGTGTTGTGGCACTGGAATTCCTGGAATCTCAAGAAACGTGAGAATTTAAGTTCTTCGTATTTTCTTTTTTCTTAAGTGTAATCAAAGCATTAAAATTGTTTTAAATCAATCATTCTTAAGTTAGCTTTATATTATGCTGAACATTTTGAATGACTCTATTGAAAATTAAGGTCCAAAAAATAGAGCTATTGAGAATGATATAAAACATTGTTAAATATTTATTTACAACAATCTTAGTTAGTAGTTATTATTCACAACGTGAATAATAGAAAAAAATTAACAGATAATGCTATTTTCTACAAAATTAGTAATAATCGAAATTAGTAATAATAAAATTAGTTAATTAAAAATGAAATTAACATTTCAATATATTCGCCATTACATAATGACATTGATCAAATAATTTATGTGCTTGTAATATAATAGATATTATCTAAATTAATATCTCATAATAAGACAAAATTGTATTATCTAATATATTTATTATCAAAACCAATATGAAAAAGAAAATTTGTTTAATAATTAATTTCGGAAAAATATTTTCGCAAAGTTGTTTAATTAAAGAAATAGAAAGTACCATGTAAAGAATGAAACTTAATATGATCAGTTTCATAACATGCTTTATTATTCAAAGGTGGAAATTGAAGTTTTCGCAAATCCGCACATGTGGATCAAACAAGAATTTTTCCATGAATATTATTTCGATCAATCAGATAAGAAAAATTTCTTCATATTTACTTTCATATGGATATTACTTTCATTAATTATGTAAAAGGCAGAATTAACATATTTGGCAAATACGTTCTTCTATTTTTTTAAATGAAAGTTATCTTTTATATAAATTTCTTGCTATCATTAATATATCAATAACATTTCTTTCATTTTAAATTAAAAGTTACGATTGTATTCAATATGATGTGAACACATGTTTTATTCATATTATCAATATTATAAACTGTATCGTAATGTTTTTGTATTCCTTATTACTGTAATATTACATAAATAATTATTATTATATTATATAATAATATTATTATATACAAATAATTATTACTATATGGTAAATTTTAAATTATTGTTTTCTACAATTTCGTATAATTCTGTTACTTTCTTTTTTAATTTGTAGTTAACCTTACCGATATTTTTTATAACTGGTATCGGCACTGGCTTTGTAATTTCCACATGCTCATTGATCGGCACAGCTTGAACGATTGTATGTTGAATGTTACTGTCTTTAAATCCTTGATCCATATCTAAATGAAAATCGCCACCATTTTCGAAAGAAGAATATGATCCATGAGAAGGAATATTCTGATGAATGTTGTGATCATTAGACACGTAATTCGTGATGTCGAAATCAGATAATCTGTCAAAATTAGAACAGAAATTAGGAGTTGCAACACAATAATTTGATCTTAACATACATATTACATTAGAAGTAATGAATACGATTATCAAATCTCATTTCTACTGACCCATGCCATCCAGCATTATCCACTGATAAATTAGCAAACGTTGTTTTAATTAATAAACATAGAGTGATTATCTGGAATAATAAAATGAATAATACATTAACAAATAATTTAAATATAAAAAATAAGAAAATTACATGTAATTCAAATATTAAATTTGGATTAATCGAAATTTAAATGTATCACCTCTTCCCTACCGTTACGTCGAAATTCAATTATTTAGACGTAACGATAAATTCAATTATTTGGACGATATGAATATGTGAATAGCAGTAGTTTCTTATCAAGAAACATCTTATTCGAGCGGACACTTAAAAAAAAGTTTATTAAAATGCTCTTTCTTCCCTCTGAGGAAAGTGCTACTGGCGACGCGTCGAATTCGATACCATCACTCTTGCGCCACATGAGAATATCCGGAATCTATGAGAACGCTACCGTATTATGTATCGCACACAGAAAGTATGGAAATATATCGACAATCACTTTCCATCGCTATTGTTCGCTGTAAAACCGGAACTCGTTCGCGAACTGAGTCGAACAAGAAAACCAAACGCCGTGAATCTCCGCTTCCGCGATTTCCACGCGACTCCTGTCACAGTCCTCGGAAATCTCCCCATCTATCTTTTTCTACTTACTGAGGGTAGATGGAGCATTTTTCAGAATACGTGGCGAGCGGACAACGAATGGGATACTGCGGATTTGTTCCGATGGACCGTTCGTTTTTATACATGACGCTTTCTCGTTCTCCCTACCCGATACTGATGGTCTGTCTTGGAAACTGGATACGTGCATACGCACCTATATCCCATTAGCAAATTAAAAATAAGTCTATTTCAAACCTACTAGTTTGAGATTACTAGATCGAAACTAACTGTAAATCTAGTCAACCGAAGTAGAACGTGTTTTCGATGCGATCGTGACATTGCGATATTGCAAGACATTATACAGCGATCCTCAATCGAGGTGCCGCATTTAATGATGGCATACGATATTTGCTCTTAATGTAGAAGAATAATAAACATAGATGACATCACGAAGAGATAGAAATATTAATACGCAAATCAGGTTCATCGTTTGCAAAGAAACGATAGTATTAAAAAATTACATTATGTTATTAATATTTATTATTAATATTTATTGTTAATATCATTTTTATATGGAAAAATGGAAAAATATATACAAA